GTGTGTGTGTGTGTGTGTGTGTGTGTGTGTGTGTGTGTGCGCGCACGCGCTCCATGAGACATAGGTGGGAGTCAGAGGACAACCAGTGAGACCAGTGAGCGTTGATTTTCTCTTCCCACCATGTGTGTCTCCAGGATCAAACAACTCAGGTAGTCAGGCTTGGTCTTCCAACTTGTGTGGCAAATGCTTTTTACCCACTGAGTCATCTCACCAGCCCCTGGTTCAAAGTTGTGATCATTCTGCTTCACCCTCATCTGCAGTTCTTACACCACCGAAGACTTTACAGATGGTTGTATTAGTTACTTTTCTGTTGCTGTAATAAGACACCATGACCATGGCAACTTTTAGAAGGAAGAGTTTATTTGAGCTTATGGTTCTGGGGACAAGGATCTATAATGGCAGGGCAAGCGTGGCAGAAGGAGATGGTGAGAGCAGAAAGCTGAGTGATCACATCTTCAAGCAGGCACAGGAAGCAGAGTGACAGGAAATCTGACAAGGCTTAAGACCTCTCAAAGCCTGCCCCCAGTAATGTGCTTCCTTCAGCATGGCCACACCTCCTAAAGGTTTCTTGACCATCCACAAACAGCACCACAAACTGGGGACCAAGTGTCCAAATACTTGGAGCTTATGGGGGATACTCATTCAAACCACCATATGCTCATCCCATAGACTCATGACTTTGTAAAATGCAAAATGTATTTAGTCCACCTTCCAAAGTTCCCATAGTCTTTACCAGTCAATACATTCAAAAGTCCAGGCAAAAATAAAACATTTCTTCTGAGACTAAGGCAGTCTCTTAACTATAAGCCCTTGTAAAATCAAAAGACAAATTACATACTTCCAACATACAGTGTAACTGAATACACATTCCCATTCCATACGCACACACGAGTGCATACCCAAGAAATACTGGATCAAAACAAGACTGAAACACAACAGGGCAAACTCCAAATCCAGTACCTCCACGTGTAACTTCTGGAACTTTACTTCCGAAGGGCTTAGATAGCTTGGCCCCTCCAGTTTTGCTGCATGCATCTTACATCTCTCTCTTGGGCTGGTACCACTCCCTGTAGGCAGCTCTCCTTGGCAGATGTCTCACAGCTTTAGCATCTTGGGATCTTCACTGCCAACCACGTTTTACCTTCACAGCTTCACACAGTGGCCTGTTAGGGCCTTCTTTATGCAGGGACACCTCTGCTACATGCTGCCTGGCCTCAGCAGCACCCTGAAACTATAGAAGAAGAACCAATGACCCCTTCACTTTTGTGTCTTTCATGCCTCTAAAGCCAGCACCACGTGAATGACACTGCCAAATTCAGCTGCCAGCCTGGGATGAACCCCTGCTCACTTCACCCACATTGCCAGCAGCATTTCTACGCTGGAGTTTTCTGGGAGCAGAAAACCCCTCTGCATTTTCATTTCACAAGTTGGAAGCTTAGCTGCATGTGGTTTTTGCCCTGAAGGTCCTCTTTCCATTTTTAAATGCAGATCTCTAGGCTTCTCCTTATCTGATCTAATCTCCTTATCAAAGAGAGCCTGTTCTTCAACACATGCCTTGGCTCTAACATTAATCTTCCTAGTGCTCTTTTCCAATCCAAACTGTACATTCTGCATGTCTTTCTGCCCCACTTGTTCTTTTCCATTGTAGATCTCCCTAATACTCTCCATTAATAACCATGCTACCATTTCTGTGTTAGGCTATCTTGAATTCTGCCAAAGAAGAATTATTTTTCCATTATTTTTCAACTTAAGTTCAGGCAAGCTCTTGGGCTGAGGGCAGACTGCAGCCAGATGTTTGCCAAAATATCCCAGCTGCTGTTTAAGTCTGTTTCCCTCTGGAACTACTTTGCTCTCAGCACTGCTTTCTTCCAGGCTCCTACTAAAATGGCCTGTTCAGCACTGCTTATAGTATTCAGCTGCTTTTCTAGACAAACTTCCATAGTGTACTGCATTCCTCCCACCCACCTAGTCAGGTTCTTCATAGCCAACACCTCTGTCTGGAACCAACTTCTGTATTACTTTTCCATTGCTGTAATAAAACATTGACCAAAGCAACTTGAGTTTATTTGAGTTTATGGTTCCAGAGGGTTAGAGCCTATAATAGCAGGGAAGGCATGGCCGCAAAGGTAGCCTGACAAGCCGAGTGATCATATCTTCAAGCAGGCACAGGTAGCAGAGAGAGACTGGAAATCTGGCAAGGCTTAAGAACTCTTGAACCCCACCCCCCGTCCCGTGACATGCTTCCTTCAGTATGGCCACACTTTCTGAGACCTTCCAAAACAGTACCACCAGCTGGGGACAGAATGTCCAAATACCTGGAGCCTGTGGGGGACATTCTCATTCAAACCACCACACTGTTTTTGTTTTCTTTTTTAAAGACTGGGTCTTATGTAGATTTGACCAACCTGGGCTCACTTTGCAGACCTCAGCCTCCTATATAACTGAGTTTATAGCCATGCATCACTATACCCAGCTTGTAGTTTTGGTAGGAGGGGAAAGGGGATAAGAGAGGATAGCAAGGGAGACTTTGCTCAAACATTTTTATGCCACATGTGGTAGCACACCTTTAATCGCAGAGACAGGGGCAGGTGTATCTCTGAGTTCTAAGCCAGCCTAGTTTATATAGTGCATTCCGGGACAGCCAGGGCCACATAGTAAGACCCTGTCTCAAAACAAAACTAAAACATTGTATATATTTGTGAAATTGTAAAAGAATAAATGGTAGAGGAAAAAGAAACATTTCTTGTCCTAAATTTTAAGGCAGATTTCTTACTTAGTACTGCTGTGTTTAACATCCCTCTCCGTGTGACAGCTGGTGCTGCTGGTGGGAGCGATGCTGAGGCCAGAGCGGCTGACTGGAAGAAGTGTGACCTGATTGCAAAGATTTTGGCGTCTTGTCCCCAGCAGTCACTTTCCCTAGAGAGCTACTACAAAGACGTCTGCCCCCAGGTCAGTCATCTTGTTTCTGATTTGTCGAGGGTTGTCTGCTGACTCAGACAGGGTGGTTAGTGGTAGTCCTCTGAAACTGAAATAAGAACAATGTAATATTGAAGTTTGTTGCTCAGTGAGTCATCTTTGTTTTATTTTAATTATTTTTATTTTGTATGAGTTTTGCCTGCATGTATATAAGTGCACCTGTGTGTGCAAGGGCCATAGAGGCCAAAAGATGGTATTAGATCCCTTGGAACTGGTCTTATAGAATTAACTGCCGTGTGGGTGCTGGGAACTGAACCTGGGTCCTCTGCAAGAACAGCCAATACTCTTAACCACAGAGCCATTTCTCCAGCCCTTTTTTGTTTGTTTTGTTTTGTTTTGTTTCATTTAGTCTTTTTCTAAAAAACATTTTATTATTTTTATTTTATGTGTATGCATGTATTGCCTGCATGTAGGTGAGTGCACCCGTGTCATGCAATGCCATGGAAGTCAGAGAGGCTGTCAGATCCCCTGGAACTGGAGCTACAGACAGTAGTTAGCTGCCATGTGGGTGCTAGGATTCGAACCCAGGTCTTCTGCAAGAACAGTCAGTGTTCTTAACTGCTGAGCTGTCTCTCCAGCCCCTCATTTAGTCTTTTTGAGACAGAGTCTGCCTATAGCCAGAGCTGGCCTGGAACTCTATGTATACCAGGCTGGCCTTGAAGTCACAGATATGGGCCTGCCTCTGCCTCCTGAGTGCTGGAATTAAAGGCATATGCCACCACACCTGGCCCTTTTTTATTTTTGAAACAAGGTCATAGCCTAGGCTGGCCTCAAACCTGTGGTGATCCTCTTGCCCAGTCTCCCAAGTACTGGGATTGTAGGTATGAGCCACTGTGCCTGGATTGGGCCCTTCTTTAAATTTTTTTTTTGATTTTGAAATTACATTTTATTTATGTTGTGTATGACACTGTGTGTGTGTGTGTGTGTGTGTGTGTGTGTGTGTGTGTGTGTCCAAGTGCACACTAATGTGGAGGTCAGAAGATAACTTGCATGAATCAGTTCTCTCCTTCCCCCATTAGGTCATGGGGATGGAAATCAGGTGGCAGCAGGTGCCTTTACTCACTGAGCCATCTTGACAGCTCAGGCCCTTCTTAATAAGTAAATAAAACCTCTAGAAGAATAGGATCTAATTGTTAGGTTTAAGAATGTCTCAGCAAGGGGCTGGAGAGATGGCTCAGTGGTTAAGAACACTGACTGTTCTTGCAGAAGACCGGGGTTCGAATCCTAGCACCCACATGGCAGCTAACAACTGTCCATAACTCCAGTTCCAGGGGATCCGACAGCCTCTTCTGTTCTCCACAGGCATTGCATGACATGGGTGCACTTATGTACAGGCAGGCAATACACGCATACACATAAAAATAATAAAATATTTAAAAAAGAGTGTCTCAGCAATTGGGTGTGGTGGATCACACCTAGAATCCCAGCACTCAGCACTCAGGAGACAGAGACAGGCAGAGCTCTGTAAATTTGGTCCTCAGCATTGTTCTTTTAAAACAAAAAGGAGCTGGCCATGGTGGCACACACTTTTAATCCGAGCACTGTGGGGGCTAAGGCAGGTGGATCAGGCAGGGTGGGGCTTCAGGAAGACCCTGACTCAGGAAAAAACACAAATGAAAAACCAAGGATCCCTGGAAAAGTTTCACCAGCGTTTCATCTTGTTAATCATCTCTTCTTTTTCCATGTTTTTAGTTTTTAGGTTGTTTTTGTTATTGGTTTTGTTTTTGAGACAGGACCTCATTGTGTCGTTCTAGCTGGCCTGGAACTTGCTAAGTAGACCAGGCTGGCCTCAATCTTACAATGATCCATGAAGTGTTTCTGTAGCCAACTGTTGTCAGGTAGAACTTTCTCCTGACTGCAAAAAGGGCAAACTTGCCTTTAAGCCAGCAGTCAAAAGTGAGCCTGTCCATTGGTTGCCAATTCTGGAGTTACCCACTGACAGTTACTGGAGATAAATGTATATTTTTGAGAATAAAATGGACTTTTACCTAGTATAGTTTAGACAAGGCAGGTTCTGACTGAGACAGTCATTTCATTGGCAGCATTGTTATGATAGTAAAATCTGGGGGGACATGAATGTCTGTCCTCCCTGAGGGTCTATAAGCAGCTAATGGTTACTGTGGGGGGAGAGACATTTTTCAGTGATGTAGCCACTGGAGATGCCCTTGCTCTTGTAGGTAACCCTATGGAGACTCTTTGGGGTAAGAAAGAGAAGAGGGGCTGGAGAGATGCCTCAGTGGGTAAGAGCACTGGCTGCTCTTGCAGAGGACCAGGTTTGAATCCCAGCACCCAAATGGCAGCTAACAACTGTCCATAACTCAAGTTCCAGGGGATCTGAAACCCTTCTCTATCCTTCTCGGGCATTGCATGACACAGGTGCACTAACATGCAAGCGATATACTCCCAAATTAAATAAAAATAATAAAATATTAAAAGAGAATGAAAATAGAAGGGGGCTCATTGGGAGTGGGACAGGCTAGAGGGAATGGGTGAATGTGGTCAAAATACATTGTTTACATATATGAAAATGTCATCATGAAACCCACATGTGTGATTAATATATGCTAATAAAATATAAAAAATGAATGTCAGGAAATTAGGGAATAACAATAAATTCTCACAAACAGCTTGAATATAATATTTTTTCCTTTCACCTTTTTTAATTGTATTAAGATAGTACCTTGCTCTGTTGTCAGGCTGGTCTTACACTCCTTGCCTCAAGTAATCTTTCTGCCTCAGCCTCCTGTAGTGGTGGCCACAGGCGTGCATCATTGTACTTAGCTTGTATATATTTTTTGAAATATTTATAACAATATGATAAGGTTTCAACATAAATACATAAAGCTGAATATTAAGTGTGGTCTTTTTTTATATTTTATTTTTATTTTATGTGTATGAGTATATTGCCTGCATGTATGTCAGTGCACCTGTGTTGTATAATGCCTGCGGAGGACAGAAGAGGGCATTGGATTCCCTGGAACTGAAGTTAGGGATGGTTGTTAGCCAGAATGTGGGTTCTAGGAACTGAACCCAGGTCCTCTGCAAGAGTAGTCAGTGCTCTTAATTGTTGAACCATCTCTCCAGCCCCCTTAAGTATTATCTTGATTAAAAAGAAAAAGCTATAAAAACATACAAAATATTTAGAGACTTGGGAAGATTTTAGGTTTTTTGTTGTTGCGTACACATAATTTAAAATTTCTTTTGGTCTTTTTTTTTTTGGTTTTTTTGAGACAGGGTCTCCCTGTAGCTCCAGCTCACCTGGAACTCACTATGTAGATTAGGCTGACCTCAAACTCACAGAGATCGGCCTGCCTCTGCCTTCAAGTGCTGGGATTAAAGGTGTACCACCATGCCCAGCCTGGAAAGATTTTAGTTTTATTTCTTTTCAAAATTGCATTTATATATGTATGTGTGTGTGCATTGTTTATGTGTAGGAGGAGCATTTGTGGAGGCCAGAGAACAACTTGCAGGAGTCGGATCTCTTCTTTCACCATGTGGACTTAGGGATTGAACTCAGATTCATTAGTCTTGATGACACACACTTTTACCCAGTGAGCTGTCTCACCAGCCCTAGTTTTCTTTTTTTAAAAAAAGATTTATTTGTGTGTGTATATGGGGGTGGGGGGTTAGTCTTTGATCTTTTTGAGACAGGGTCTCCCTGTAACCCTAGCTGGCCTGGATTCACTATGGAGACCAGGCTGGCCTCGAACTCACAGAGATCTGCCTGCCTCTGCCTTCTGAGTGCTGGGATTAAACGTAGGTGCCACCACACCTGGCCTGTGTGTGTTTTTTTTGAGACAAGGCCTCCCTGTAGCCCCACTAAGCTTGGAACTCACTATGGGGAACAGAATGGACTCTATCTCAGAGATTCACCTGTCTCTGCCTCCTGAGTGCTGGGATTAAAGGCATGTACCACCATGCCCAGCATTGTTTTTGCTTTTTAATTAAGTGTATATGTGTGTGGGAGTATGTACATATGTGAGTGCAGGTGCCTGCAGAGGTCAGAAGAAGGCATTGGATCCCCTGGAGCTAGAGTTACAAGTGATTGTGTGTTAACCTATGTGGGTGCTAGGAATTGAACTTGGGTCTTCTGTAAGAGCAGTGCATGCCCTTAACCACTGAGCAATCTCTCCAGCCCCTTAAATTACTTCTTAGAACTTTGTTTTGGGCTGAGCGTGGTGATACATGCCTTTACTCTTAGCATTTTGGAGGCAGAGGCAGAGGCAGAGGCAGGTAGATCTCTACGTGAGTTTGAGGCCAGCTTGGTCTACATTGTGAGTTCTAGGCCTGCCAGGGCTACCTAGTAAGACCATGTCTTTAAAAAAAAAAAGTAGAAAACCAAAAGCAAACCAGTCTATCAGCTCAGTATTCTTATAGTGATTTTATATTTTGGCTCTAAGAAATAAATACTTTTCCCTCTTATTTACTGTTCTGTTCCCTACAAAGAGCTTAGTATTAACTTCCTGTAATTTTCCTGTAGATTCTGGATTTATTTCATTTTCAAGATAAACTGACAGAGCGACAGTTCCAGAGAGTCGCCACTACTACCTTCATAACCATGGCAAGAGAACACCCGGAGCTGGCCGCCAAGTACCTGCTTCAGCCAGTGTTAGCGCCTCTTCAGCGATGCTTGATTTCCACAGGTAAGGGAGGAAGTGGCTGTCTCTCCCTCAGAGTTCAGACTGATGTGATTTCAGTGTCTGCAGTTTTCCTTCTCCCCTCCCAACTTTGTCCTTTGAAAAATTTGCTTCACACATGCTCTAAGAATACGCTGCCTCACCCGTCCACACTTCACCCAGAGCCGCTGCTGCCTCACCCGTCCTCCCTTCCCCAGAGCCACTGCCTCACCCGTCCTCCCTTCCCCAGAGCCACCAGCTATTCTTGTCTTAGTCACATTTGATTCCTTTTTCTCTTCACACATGAATGTAGTTTAACTGGAACATTTCCAAGTTAATTGTAGACATGGTGACACATCACTCCTCAATCCTTTAGCATAAGTCTCCAAAGAAAAATGCTCCCCCTGCCACCCAGTCTTTTTCAGACAAGGTCTTCCTGTAGCCCCAGCTAGCCTGGAACTATGTAGATCACTAGATTAGGCTGGTCTTTAACTCACAGTGATTCACCTACCTCTGCCTCCTGAGTGCTGGGATTAAAGGTATGTGCCACCACCCCCAGCAATTAGTCTCTCTGTTAAAAAAATTTTTTGAGGGACTGGAGAGATGGCTCAGCAGTTAAGAACACTGACTGTTCTTGCAGAAGAACAGGTTCAAATCCCAGCACCCACATGGCAGCTAACAATTGTCTGTAACTCCAGTTCCAGGGGATCTGACAGCCTCTTCTGTCCTCCGTGGGCATCGCATGACATGGGTACACTTACCAACATGCAGGCATAACACTCATACACATAAAACAAAAATAATAAATAAAATATTTTTAAAAAAATTTTTTTAGTTGATAATGACCACGAACTCCTGATCCTCTTGTCTCTACTTCAAGTCAGTCTCTTAATTAACTATAGTACAATGATCACTTGGTTTTTTTATTTATTTATTTATTTATTTACTTGTTTAGAGACAGGGTCTTACCAGGTAACTCTGGCTGGTCTGTAACTCTTTGTGGCTGGCCTTGAAGTCACAGAGATCTGCCTGCCTCTGCCTCCGGAGTGCTGGGATTAAAGACACGCACCACTATGCTTATTTATGCTTAGAAAATTTAACACTGCTATAACATTACCAATATCTGTCCTGGACCTTGTTCATTCATTCAAAGATTTATTGGACCTTTATATGCCAGACATTCTTGATGTGTTATATTACATTTGCAACATAAGTACATGTTTTGCACATATAATCTATTGGTAACAAAAGGGACTAATAATTTTTTTTTTTTGTAGTGCTGCTGGGGATTGAACCCAGAGCCTTGTGATACTGGGCAAATAACTTTGTGAATGAGCTACACTTCCAACCCTCTTCCTTTCTTTCTTTTTTTTTTTTTTTTTTGGTCTTTTTGAGACGGGGTCTCCCTGTAGCCCCAGCTGTCCTGTAACTCACTATGTGGACCAGGCTGGCCTTGAACACCCTTCCTTTATTTTAAAACTTAGCTACAGATCTTAAGTCACCCATGGGGGCCTTACACTTGTGATCCTTCTGCCTTAGCCTCCCTAGTAGCTAGGATTATAGGTCTGAGCCACCAGGCCAGTGAAAATATGGTTAATCCTACCTGGTTATATCATTTTTAATAGGAAACAGTTAATTCCTCCCTCCCTCCTTTCCTTTCCTTGCCGTGCCATGCCGTTATGTCATGTCATGTCATGTCATGTTGTGAGACAGGGTCTCACTATGTAACCTTGGCTGGCCTTGAACTCACAGAAATCTACCTGCTACTTCCTGGAAAACAGAAAGGAATCTTCCTTATTGATATTTTGTGTTTTACATTGTTTTCCTATTTTTAGGGCTTATGTAGCAGTGGATTAGTATATTTTATTAGTCCTAAGAGATTTTTTTTTTTATAAGATCATTTTTTTTTGGGTATTTTTGAGACAGGGTCTCCCTGTAGTCCCAGCTGGCCTGGAACTCACTATGCAGACCAGGATAGCCTCAAATTCACAGAGCTCCTCCTGCCTCTGCCTCTGAGTACTGAGATTGAAGGAGTGTGCCACCAAGCCCGGCTTTGTTATTTTGGGTTTTTTTGGGGGGGGGGGGT